CGAGGCTACCTTTGAACTTGCAATCCTCTCGCCTCAGCCTCCTAAACTGTTGGGATTACACACTTGCGCTGGATGTGTGGTCTAAATGCCTCTAGGACATTCAACCGCAGGTGTTCAGTTAGGTAATTGTTGGATGTAAAGGGCTAGAGCAGAGAGATGACGATTACTTAGTAACCATCAGCATATTGATGACAATATAAACCACTGGCATAGGTAACCCTGATGAAATGAGTGCAGGGAGAGAAGAAAAGGTGGCTAGGACAGGGTCTTGAGGACCCTGGATGGGCTGAGGAGGAAGGGAGGCAGCAATGGAGACTGAGAGAGCATGTCCTACTGCTTTGTCCTAAAAGACAAAGTTTTTAATGGAGCCAGGTTCTGCCTGTTCTAGCAGGGCCACTGCAGGACCTGCGGGTGGGCGTGAGTTGGGAGAGAAATGCTGGTGAGTGAGGAGGTGACAGCAGTGTTGGAGCTCATCTTTGGGAAATGAGTGTTTCTTGTAGGAGGGAATCAGTTTTTGTGGGKCTTTTTTTGTTTGTTTGTTTGTTTTGGGCAGAATCCTTAGGATGGTGAAACTGTTCTGTATGATGCCGTCGTGGTGGCTGCATGTCCTTATGGGTCTGTCCATGTTCACTGACATCCATCACCAAGAGTGAACCCTAATGTAAGCACAAATGAGAAATATGCCAGTGCAGGTTCATCAGTAGTCACAAATGCACCACTGTGGTGGGAGGTACACCTGGGAGGGCAGGAGGAAGGTAGGAATCAGCCATGCTGTGAACCTAAGACTGCTTGAAAGGTTAGGTCTTCAAACATTGTTTTTAAAAAGGAAAGAGTCGAAGAAGAATATAACACCTATATTGCTATCACTGTCAATAAATTTTGCATGAAATATGAGTTAGAGGAGAACAGGGGGTATAGACAGTTTTTCTGCCTACAGTGCAGGAAAGGTTCAAGAGGGGAGACTCTGGAATCCAGACTGAATGCTGACWGGAGTGCACACGGAAAGAGGGAGAAGCTGAGGAGCTGGGGGGGTTGAGGGCAGAACTCAAAGGGCTCTGTGGGGARGAGGGTCAGGCATGTCTGCTGAGCCCCCAGGTCCTTCAGAACCGCCATTGCTGAAGAACGTGAAAACAGGGCAGTTTGAAGATAGCAGCAGGGTTCAAGGCGTAGAGGGTGAGTGCATTAGAAACTAGATGAAACTGAATGAGCTGGGTGAGGAGGCTCTGCTCACAGCTAGACTGTTCCAGGGCACCACCCATGCTGTTCTCTCTTCCTTCAGATCTTCTCAAGCTCCCCATCTCCCTCCCTCACTCCTTCCTGGTTTCACACTTCTCTGCCACCTTCTAATGAGCTCTCTACCCCAACCCATCTCTCTGCTTGTCATTTTTTATGGCACTTGGCCCTTCCTGGAGTTACTTTATTCATCTGTCCACTTGTTCAATTGTCATGTCTCCCACTAGGTTATAAGYCCTGTGAGGACAGGGTATATGCCCCTCCCCATGACTGGAACAGAGATGGGCCGAACAGTAGTGCATCCGAACATGTTGAGCAAATGAACTGGAGACCAGGAATCTAGGAACTGTGCCAGAGTGTRGAAGGGCAGTCTATATGTATGTCGACATTTGGGAGGGACAGAATGAAGAGAAACAGGTGGTGCCAGAGCCCTCACCGGAAGTGGGGGAATGACTGGGAGGTCTAGGGCTGTAAAAGGGGGCCAGGCGGTTCCCAGAGTGGGGCTTACAGTGGAATCTGTTTGGGGCCCGGGCAACCCAACCTCCACCAGTTAGTGCAGAACTAACAAAGGGTTTTTGCATGTTGCGGAAATGTTATATATCTGCACTATTCAGATTAGTAGCCACTAGCACATATATATGGCTAGTATAACTGAGAAACTGAATATTAATTTAATTTTAATTAAAATTTAAACAGTCACATGTGACTAGTGGCTTCTTTACTGATCAGCACAGCTTTGATTTCCCTTTGAATCACACCATCTGAGGCAGAGCTGGTAGAGAGTGAATTAAGAATTTCACAGGGAGAGGTCTCCAAGATCCCAAGAGGGGAAACATGCTGCCTTCCTCTTACAGTTTAAATTGGAAACACGCACATTTGTTTCAAAAGCGGATAAAGTGTAATGACATGGAGAGTGAAATTGGGGTATGGACAAATGAACACTCGAAACCTCTTCGTTTATTTCTGAAAATCTTCTATATGCTGCATGTAGCAGAATCGCAGTCCCTGAGAGGCAATCAAGTTCTTTCCGCATGTGAATTGGTTTTCTCACCTTTTTACACCTAAATCATCAGCATGAACAGGAGCTCTAGGCAGTTCCCTGGACTCTTTCCCAGGTATTGGATTCAAGTGTGTCCTAGGGGTTCTTAAACATGGCTGTACCTTGGAATCACCAGGGGTTTTGAAACCTCTCAGTGCTGTGACCAAACCCATTAAATCCAAATCTCTAGGCTTGGGATTGGGTAGGCTTCAGAAGTTTGACAACCTCCCCAGGTGATTATTGTTAGTAGCAAGGTTTGAAAATCACTGGTCTAATCAACAAGACACAAAGCCAGATAGAGTTTATTGTCGCAAGGGATTGCATGATCTAAAAATGCTTAGTTTAGAGCAGTGCTCTTCAGCCTTGGCTCTCTGGGGATTAGCCGGGGAACTTTAAAAAATGCTGATGCTCAGGTCCCACTCAGAGATATGGATTTGATTGGTCTGGGTTGTGGCCAGAGCACCAGGATTTTTGAAAGCTCCAAGAATGACCCTAATATGTGGTTAGGCCTGAGAACCATCTGGATAATTTTGACCAAATAGGCTAAAATGAAACTGGTTAAAATTCCTTCTAGAAGCCATTGTCCTGTCATGCTGATCCCATTTATTGAATACCCACTGTGTACCAGGCATTGTGCTTAGTATGATAGACACAGAGCTGAACTCAGACCCAACCCTTTTAGAAGGTTAAGTGAGACACATGTAAAATAACTCAGGTGTTAGGCACAAGCCAGTGAGCCTGTAGGAAGAGCAGACGAGATGCTGTGGATTGGGTTGGCTGTGTGTTTCCCCTCTTCCCTTCTTTTCCTCTTTCCCCTCCCGCCCTCCTCTTCTTTTCTTCATTCTTTATTTTTTTTTTCTATCCTTTTCTTTCTCTTTTTAACCTTGATAACCTTGTCAGTAGACAATTGCTGTAGAGTGTTCTGGATTTGACTGCTTTGGGATTGTGTGTGGTTGAGGCGAAGACCAGGGTCTAGAAAGAACCAGGGCCTGCAGTGCTGGGTGGCAGCTCTGGCCGTCACCATCTTGCTGGGTGTTCAGAGCAACTCAATCCACCCATGGCCCTGACCTGCTGACTTTGCCTATCTGTCCTGGGACGGAGGCCCCCCAGGGCCTCTGCAAACCTGCCACTGGGACTGATGGAAGAAGCATCAGGTCTGGCTGGATAAAAACATTGTTTTATTTTATATTTGTTTTAGCTGTGGATGGACCTTTATTTTAATCATTGATTTATATGCGGTGCTGAGATTCGAGCCCAGGGCCTCCCACATGCTAGGCAAGYGCTCTGCCACTGAGCCACGACCCCAGCCCCAAAAACCATTATTTTAAAACTTTGACCACATTTTCCTCAGAAACATATTAATCACAAAACCAATACTATAATAACATATGAGAAATTAAAAAAAAATAAAATAAAAAGCATCCCCCAACACTCAAACCCACTATTTTCATTCAATCAAAACTTTCGGCAAGACATTTAGGAGCCTTGTGCCAGGTAGAATGCTGCTCTGCCCAGGAGGTCGTCCACCTTAGGAAGGCCTGGTCCTCAGGGTGGTCTTCCTGTGAGGGTTCTAGGTGGTGGTGGTGGGGTCCTTCAGCCCTCCCTCTCCCTGGCTGAGAAGGACAAGGCAGGATGGAGAAAAGTTGCCTACATACAGATAGATCCTGTTTTCGGGTTTTTCTTTGCAGTAACTCTTACAAAAAGAACCTCGACATGACCAAAATCGGAACAGGAAAACCTCAGCAGCTTCTCAGAGTGGATGACCACGACTTCAGCATGAGGCCGGCCTTTGGAGGTAGGACCATGTCCTCCCCTCACTGCTGGGTGGGGCCTTGTCCCCAGGGCCACTGCACATGCTGCCCCTTCTGGTTCTCTCAGCCACAGTCCCTCCTGGGGGCAGGTGATTTTCCCCCTCACAGTCAGAGAAGCCCAACCCAGCTTGTGGAATCACTCTTCCTTGAGTAGAGAGAGCCGGCAGGAAGTGGTGGAGCTGTTGAGTGAAGGAGAAGTGGGTGACTCAGCTGTTTACCTTCACAAAGGAGACCAGCTGCTGCTGCCAGCTTTCTTTTGCTAAAAAAAAAAAAAAAAAAAACCAGCAGGCAGGGAGGATCTGGATACAAAACAGTTCCTCTGCTTGGCTGCTCTGGCTAGCTGGAGGTTTCTGAGCCATCTAACACATTATAAAGACCCCTCAACACACCTGCCCCCAAAGGAGTGATGCTGCTTTTGAGGTCAGGGAGGGGAGGCAACACTGGTGACTCCTCAGGAACTAAAGAAATGCCACAGGGGACCCTGCATCCTAGTTTGGGCTGCCATAACAAATTAGCACAGGCTGGGTACCTTTGAAACAATAGAAAAATTCCTTCTCCCAGTTCCGGAGGCTGGAAGTTCAAGGTCAAAGCACTGACCTTCTGGGTCTGATGAGGGAGGACCCACTTTCTGGTTCATAGACAGCGCTTTCTCACTTCACATTAGGAAAGGGGTGGGGGGACTTTTCTGAGGTCTCTTTTAGAAGGTCACAAATCCCATACGTGAAAGGGCCCCACCCCCAAGGCCTGATCACCTCCCCATGCCACCACCTTTGGGGTTAGGATTTCAATGTATGCATTTTGTGGGGACAGACACAGTCAGACATAGCAGTTGCCTGCTGTCTGGCCAGGTAGGGAAGAGGGTAAGCAAAGTGGGTTGCATGGGATCCTTGGGTCAACTCCCTACTTGTACCTGAGGGGAAACTGAAACCCAGAGCGTTTCAGCAGATTAGCTATGGCAGATACAGACCCAGGCAGGCTGCTTTCCTTTTGCCTTTCTCTCTGCCCTTGATCCTTTCTCAGAACTCATGGTTCTCTGGGGGCGGTTCGAAGGAGTAGGATGACCTTTAGGCAGGTCACCAACCCTTTCTGAGCCTCTGTTTGCTTGTTTATAAAATGGGGACAGTAATCCCTAAGAATGGGGCTGTTGTCCAGATTAAGCAAGATAATGTATGTAAAGACCCTGACACATATTCGTTCTTGTCCCCTCAGAARACCCAGCTGTCAGACCTTCCTCTTGTGTGACTGTTAAGGGATTAAGAAATTAATTTATCCCAGAGGCCTTTACATTTTAAAAGGCACTAAATTCCCTGAGTTCTGGCACCTGCTAAACAGATGGAGAAKAGTAGGCGGCAGATTACAGTCCTGTGATTCCTCGTTCCCACTGGTAACCTCATTTACCCTCTCAGGTCAAGAGGACACCACCAGATTTCTGGTAGTTYAGATTTCCTCGGGGCTCACCATGGGCAATTCTGCCAAGGAATTTTATAATAAATTCCTTTTACTGAATGACCAGCTTTAAAATGGTTGTTTCTGCTCCAAGGAATCTAAGTGAGATATCCCTATAAACTGGAAGCCCCACCTTGCTTTTCTAGAACAGTGCTGGTTAAAAGTTCAGAGGGTTAGCAAGGTGGCTAGGAGCAACCACAGCAAGAATGTAAATGACAGCTAACTCTGTTATAGAGAGCATCTGTGCCAGGCATCACTTCAACCAAGGTACTTATATAATGTAACTCTCCACCCCAAGCACTGGGATCAAACCCAGGTTCTCATACATTCAAGACAAGCCCTCTACTAAAGAGTTGTGTCCCCAGCCCATATATGATCTTCCCCTCCCCATATATAGTTTTAATGTAATCCTCTCATAAACTCTTTGAGTTAGACAATATTATAATTCCCAGGTAAGGAAACTGAGGCACAGAAAGGTGAAGTGAGTGGCCCAGGTCACACTACTGGGAAGGTTGAACCCTCCCACTTAGCCAGGTCTCTTGTCTCTACTCGAATGTCCCTTGATGCAGAACTGGAATAGACAATAGACAGGGGAGGCTCTAGCCACAACACTTTTAAGGTTCCCTCCAAAAGTTTTATTTTATTTTATTTTTTGGTGGTGCTGGGGGTTGAACACAGGGCTTTGTGCATGTGAGGCAAGCACTCTACCAACTGAGCTTTATCCCTAGCCCTATTTTATTTTCTTTTTACAGTTTAATGTATTTTAATAGCAAACTTACAGAAACAGCACAGAAGACAACATTAAAAACATGTACTTGCATGTAGGACAACTCAGAAAAGTCTCGTGAATGGGTGGCATCTACTGTGATAAAAATGCTACAAACACCATTTAGTTCCTGTTAATAAAAAATTTACTTGTTTTAAAAAATCCAAATGCTGGCATTGTCCAGAAAATTTTAACAGTTTTATTTATAATTGTTATAAAGTTGAACTACTGAAACTTGTTCACTAAAAAATTTTTGCTCTATATCCCTGCATTTATATTAAAAATTCTCACACAGGGCTGAGGATGTAGCTAAGTAGTTAGAGTACTTGCCTCACATGCACAAGGCCATGGGTTCAATCCCTAGCACCACAAAATTTAAAAATAAATAAATAAATAATAAAATAAGATAAAAAGAAAGAGAAAAAGAAGAAAAGAAAAAAATTTACACACAATGAAAATGAAAAACCGACCAATACCTGATTTCTGTCCCCTGTTTTTCCATTCACAATCATATACTTAGGTATCTTTTGAGCCTTTGGAAAAAAAAACATCTAACTTCCGAACTACCAATAACGGGAAGAAGAGAAAAAAATTTTTTTGAGAATGAAATATTCCCATCATAGTGAATTTTTAAAAATATTTATTTTTTAGTTACAGGTGGACACAATATTTTTATTTTATTTTATGTGGTGCTGAGGATCAAACCCAGTGCCTCACTCATGCCAGGCCAGCACTCCACCTCTGAGCCACAATCCCCGCTCCCATTATAGTGAATTTTTAAAAAATATTTTTTTAGTTGTAGATGGACACAATATCTTTATTTTATTTATTTATTTTTTAATGTGATGCTGAGGACTTTTTTTTATTGTTGGTCGTTCAAAACATTACATAGTTCTTAATACATCATATTTCACAATTTGATTCAAGTGGGTTATGAACTCCCAATTTTACCCCGTATACAGATTGCTGTATCACATCAGTTTCCCTTCCATTGATTGACATATTGCCTTTCTAGTGTCTGATGTATTCTGCTGTCTGTCCTATTCTCTACTATCCCCCCTCCCCTCCCCTCCSCTCCCCTCCCCTTTTCTCTCTCTACCCCTTCTACTGTAAATCATTTCTTCGATTTGTATTATCTTGTCTTACCCCTCCTTTCCTCTTATATGTCCTTATGTATAACCCTGAGGATCGCCTTCCATTTCCATGCGATTTCCCTTCTCACTCCCTTTCCCTCCCACCTCTCATGATGCTGAGGATTGAATCCAGTGCCTCACCCACCCAAGGCCAGCGCTCAACCACCGAGCTACAACCCCAGCCCCCATCATAGTGAATTCTTAAGCCTGTGCTCCACATATGCAGTGTGCTAGTTGGATGTCTTTTGGCATAATTGTTACACTTTGGCATGGAGGCCACACAAGTGGTGTCTTCAAAAACGCCAACCAGATAGGCCTTGCCTGCCTTCTGCAAAGCACGAATAGCTGCACTCTGGAAGCGCAGATTTGTTTTGAAGTCCTGAGCAATTTTTCGCACAAGACGCTGAAAGGGGAGTTGCGAATCAGAAGTTCAATGGATTTCTGATAACGTCTAATTTCACGAAATACCACAATACCAGGCCTGTAACGATGAGGTGTCTTCACCCCTCCAGTAGGAGGTGCACTCTTGGGAGCGGCTTAGCCATGGTAGAAAGACCTCCTTATTTACCTGGCTTCTTCTTTAGTAGGAGCCCGGGAGCTAGAGGTGGCGCTGGTGTTAGAAAACCACCAAAAGTTTTCTTTTAARATCAGAAGGAAACCGAAATTTTAGGCAGAAGAAATCATTTTACTATATTCTATTAACATATTCATCTTTATATCCATGCAATTGTTAAAATATATGTATTTTTTATATTTTATATACTTTGCATACAGGAAGAGGTGCCTGAAGGCAAAAGTGCCCAGGGTCCTCAAAACTCCTAAGTGGACCTGCCTCATGGAGGTGCTGTGGGGCGAGTGTGCCTGGGTGTGAGTGGTATAGAAGCCCTGTGACTAAAGCATACTGGGGCACAGGGGGCTAATAGTTGGTGGCAGAACTTTGGGTTTTTCTGTAACCTCTGCTGCAAAACTGAAAGTCTTATAAAAACAGTCTCTCCTTTGGGAGAAAGCAGGAGCCAGCTCTCAGGAATGGCAGGTGAAGGACTATCTGCCTCATTCCCAGAAAAACTGGCTCTGAGCAGAGCCATGTAACCAGCTGCAGCCCCAGTCGGGGGCCCCTTCCCCAAGCCCCGTTTGAAGAGCATATTGGACTTTCTGTGCCCTGATCACTGCATCTGCTGGGCCCATTGGTGGGGGTCCCCAGAATGGGGAGGGTCAGGACAGTCCTCTACCCCTGCCTAGGTAAGCTTCTGACCCTCAGGAAGGGTTCTGACCTTGGAGAGAGAGGCCCTTGCAGGGGAAGGAGGCTTCACCTCCCACCGAGTGCTTGAAGACTTTAAGACACATCAACTGTCAAGATTGCAGTTACCAAAGCAGAGTGGGAACATCCGTCCTTTCCTAGATGTCCAGTTGTCACTTGGATGAAACAGGGAGGGGAGCACACCTATGGGGGCTCCATGCCACTTTTAGCCCATAAGTAAAATTTGCTGTGCTGGGAAATTGGCTAAGCAGGTAAGACGGGAAAATCCCATAAGGTGGCCTCCTACCTGTGGCTTCAATTGGTCTTTGTAACCTATAATTCCTGGGGGCATCTAGAGATGGCTTAGAGCCAAGGAATCTTCCTCCCAGGAGTCCCCATTCC